GGGGGGGGACACGGACGGGGACGTGCGGGGCCAGACTCCCGCCCTTCTCCCGCTCCTCCGAGCCGGGCGCCTCGTTTTTTACTTTTTATTCTTCTTTTTTCTTTTATTGCCCCCTACTCTTTTTTTTTTTTTTTCCCTCCCCCCCGTTGTCCTCCCCGGCTCCGTGACACTCTTTTGTTTCGGGCTGGAAGCCACCACGCCTTGTCCGCCCCCGCAGAGGGACATTTCTCCCGTGTCCGTGACACCGGGAAAAGCACCGCGGCCGGTGTCGCTGGCGGTACCGGCGGGCAGGAGCCGGCCCGGCTCCCTGCCCCCGGGGGGGCAAAAATGGGGGGGGGGGGGAGATTTCCCCCGCCCGTATTTCCTCGATATAGGGGAAAACGGGATTTTTGGCGGGGACGGCGGCTCTTCCCGAGGCTCGCCCGCTCTCCACGCCTCGCACCGGACAGGGACACGAGTGGCATGACCCACGCTGGGAAGGAGCGGGGCGGCGGTCACCGGGACCCTTTCCACGGGGGCTATAGGGCCCCGGCAGGGGACACGGCCCCGGGACCGGCTCCTCGCTCCGGCCGCGGCCGACGGCCGGGATACCCGAGCCCGGGAAGGCGAGGGCAGGAGCGGGTGGGTGCGTGGGTGCGTGTGTCCCCGGCCCCGCGCTGCTGTGACAGGTTCCATCTCCCCGGCGAGAGGGGAAGGCGCACGGCGGTTAATGGGCTCTCAATAATTCATAACAGCCCGGCCCGCTCGTAATGCAGCTCTCCGCGCTCGCCAATTACTTCTCATTAAACGCCTGTCGCCCGCGCGGGGAGGGGGACGCGAGTGGGAAGGGAAGGACTCCGCTCCGGCCCAGCGGCATCCCGGAGCATCCCGCCCCGGTTGGGGGTGGGGGGCCGCGCTGTCCCCGGCCCCAACGAGACAGCCCCGCGGCCGGGCCGTGTCCCCCGCTCCCGGTGCACCGCTCTCTGCGGACAGACAGACGGACACTGCCTCTCTGCCCGCGGCCCCTGCCTATTTTTTTCCCTAGTCCTGCAGCCGAGCGTCCCCAGCCTCCTCAAGCCCCCCCCCGACTTGCATTTCCCCGGCTAATAGCGGGGCAGAGCGCTCCGTTTCGGCCATTAACAGCCCCCCCCCCCCAACCCAGCTTTATTTTTCGGGGGGACCGAGTGACATCCGACGGCGCCCGCCCGCCTTTGTGAAGGCTGAGCCGGATCGGGCAGGGAGGCTGCGGGCAGCGGCGGGGGGAGGACCGGGGGGCTTCGCGGTCTGGGCAGCGCCGCGGCGACGGGAGCCGCCGGCCTGAGCCCCCAAATCAGCCCCGACCCGCCGCTCGCCTTCCCCCAGTTATTCTCATATATATATGTGTATATATATATATTTAAAATTTTATTTATTTATTTTCCTGACTTCCCACCCGCAGGGAGGAGGGGGGGGGGAGGAAAGGCACTTCTTTTAATTGTTCGGGCCCCTAATGACATGCAGCGCTGGCTCAAAAGACACGCAAGCACAAAGAAGATGGCACAACCAGCAGTTTGATGGGGAAACCCGGCGCTGCCACCCTGGGCAAAGGAGGGCTCGCTGCCCGGCCCCCCCAACCCCCCCCAAGAGAACGGCAGTGCGGGCAGCGGCCGGCCCTGCCTGCCCAGCCCGCGGCCGCCGGCGAGATTGGAGGCAAAAGTGCGTTTATCGATGATCTTAAAAAACAAACCAAACCAAACCAAAACGAAAAAAACCACCAAACCCCAAACCCAACACCGGACAACTCGGGGGTGAGATGAGTCTAATTATTGCTGGTTCTAAAAAGAGCTGGAACACCCAAGTAGGGCTTAACTCGTCTCCTGGGAAACTGATGGAGACCTATTTTACAAGCTGTAATTCTGCTTTAGACTATTGCAGGCTAAAGGCAGTTCACACTATCCTCTTTCTTCTAGAAATAGTCCTAATCCTATATTTCGGCCGGGGAAAGTCCGCTTCTGCTCCGCACTAGATTAATCCAGAAACCACATAAAACCAGGTAGGGAAGAGGATGGAAAACGGGAGGAGGAAAAAAAAAATCGTTCAAAGTTTGTTACCTCTGCCCTGCCTAACCTTCAAAAGTGTAAATATTAAAGGATGATGCTGAGTCTGCCGGCTCGTTATTTACGGGACAGCTTCGCCGCCAGTGGAGCTAAAACCGGGGCTGTGGGGCCGGCGGGTTTCGGGAGGAGAGGAGTTGGGCTTTATTTTTTTTCGCTCTCTCGCTGCGGTCGCTTTTCAGTCTCGGGCTCCCACGGTGGCGAGCGCAATATTTATCCGTTCCCGACGGAGCCGGGCGGGACGGGGTGGGGGGGC